GAGAACATTGAGGTCTTGATGCAAACGTTTATTCTTCCTTGGGATAATAATTGCTGGTTTGGAGTGAATTCTTGACCCACCCTGGCCACAGGCATTCCCCAGGGATCTTGTTGAAATGTAGTTTCTGACTTGGAAATCCTGAGAAGAGCCTGAGAATCTGCATTTCTGATGAGCTCCCTGGGGATTAGGTACTGCCCACCAGTCTGCAAGCCACACTTGCAAGCAGCAAGGCTCTAACTCACTGTTTTACTTCACGCTCTTCCTAGTACATGCCACAGTGGGGTGTTATCATAGTTACCTGTGCACGCTTGTAGCTTTCTTCTCAGTAGATATAAACTGCCTGAGTGGGGTGCCTTGCCTGTCCTGTTACAGCCGCAGGCCCAGCACAGTGTGTGCACACAGTAGGCCATCAATCCATGAGGTCCACTGGGTGACAGAGAGAGTCAGGTTCTAGAGGGCAAGGACCTGTTTTCTCAGGCCCCTTCCTGGCCCAGCACGGAATAAGGGCACACACAGGAGCCCAGCCCCTGGGGAGAGAGAGTGGAGCAGCTCCTGACCGTTGGGCCTCAGGGTTCCCCGATAGGTCACGAGTGGAGGGACAAGGGAAAAAATCAGCCTGAGGTCCATAGATATCAGGCGATATGTGTGTGTATAAAATTCATTTTTTTATCCTTACCTGAGGACATGCTTATTGATTTATAGAGAGAAGTGAAGGAAGGGAGAGAGAAGGAGAGAAACGTCGAGACTGAATCAGCTGCTTCTTCTATGTGCCCTGCCTGGGGACTGAACCCACAACCTACGCATGTGCTCTGACTCAGTATCAAACCCGTGGTGTTTTAGTTTCCAAGATGATACTCCAATCAACTGGGCCTCACTGGCCAGGGATAAATTCACTTTTAAAACCAGAAAACTTGCTGCAACCTTTGTCTGAGTCCCTTCTGTAGCCGCCTGGGCTCCAGCCCAGCCCCGGGTTACTTGCAGTCAGGCAGACCCTTGCACCACAGTCACATGGCATTCCTGGCCTGGCCCTTGGGTGTCTTGACTCCAGTCCATCTGGAGTCAGTTTCACTCTGTCCAACTTGGGTCATGCAGGCGCCCTGAGCATGAGGCCACAGGCAGTTCTGTGGAGGCCATTCCAGTGAGGTGCCTCACCCCGCCTCAGTTTCCCCCAACTTGAGGGAAGGAGAGAAGTCTGGGAAAACTGAGCAACGCTCGATGCCTTGTCCAGCTTCTGCTAATTCTCTCCTTTCCACTGCCAGGGTTTCCTGCCTGCAGTGCCCAGTTGGACCAGGTAGCCTCCCAGCCCTGGGACCAGGCATCTTGAGAGCAGGGACACCCACTCAGCGTGGCCTGAGTCCATTGGTTCCTGCCGCACAGCACCCCCCTGAGAAGACCTCACATCGCTTCTTTTCTGCCTTCCTCCTCGCTCCACTCCTAGAAGTTGTCTGAGTCCAGCCTATCCCCTTAGATCCCTGCTCTCTGTCTTTTAATTGCGGAGAGCTGGCAGCTGCTCATTCAGCAACATTTTATCTAGGGCCTTCCATCCGATGGGTAGACCTAGGGCCAGTCTCTGTCTGTAGCCTGCTGGCTGGACAACCCCTGGCCATGTGGGTCCTCCTCGCCCTCCTTCCCAGGGTGACTCATGAGCTCTGCACTCATTCACTCACACAGCTCATTTGTCCCCCAGTTATCAGTTTGTTCACGCTCTTCCCTTTTCACTAATACACCCATTTACTCACTTACGCAATCCTTCTGGGCCTGGTGCAGCAACCAGTCTGGTACTAGACTGGCTTTCGTATGCAAACACAGAGACAGAATAACACAGCAGGACACAGGGGCCATGTGCTCAGGTGGAGTCCCCCTAAGTATGAGCTGGGGAGGCTCCAACAAAGATCGGCCCCCTTGTCAAGTAGACGAGGCCAGGTTGGCCCACAGAGGCCCCAGGTGGCTCCAGGCCACTAGGTGAGAGAGGAAGGAGGTTGCCCTGGCCGGGCACTCAGGCCCGCCCAGTGTGGTGAAGTCAGCTCTCCCAGCCCGGCGTGCAGGATGGGGACACCGTGTTTCCAGCTCTGAGCTGGTGACCTGGAGCTGGGTTAAAAACACAAGAACTAACACAGGAAACGCCTAAACACCTGCCCGAAGGTTCAGAAGGAGTTATTCATCCAGGGCTGGAAAGGCCTTCCCTTCACAGATCTCCAAACCCTGTACAGCCAAGGGCACAGGAACTCAGGGAGCCTGGTCACAAGTGGGCTGGGTGGTGGCCCTCCAAACCCAACCACAACGTCCAGCCTCATGGTCTTGGGCCATACTCACTGCTCAGCCATCCTGGCTGTTCAAACACAAGGGACGCCCCGCTTTCTGAAGGAGAAAACACTTCGAGAATGTTTTCCCCAGAAAAGCTTGAAAACAAACAAACAAAAATGTTTTAGGACTGGAAGTGAACGAATCAAATGTTTACTTAAGTAATCTGTTACAATGAAATTTTTTCACTTAATCTATTAATTTAGAAAACCTACTCTTTCCACACATAGTTTAGGAAGCAATTTTACGCAAATTCTCCTCCGTGCTGACTGGTGGAGGTAACATCGGGCTCGTGGGTCTTGCTAACACTTCCATTTTACAGTAAGAACAGAGAGGCGCCTGCAGAGTGAAGACTGTCAGGACAGAAGCATGGCGCACCCTCCTTCCCCGAGGGTCGTCCTGGGAAAGAGCCTCACCTCAGGGGCAGCCCCACGGGGGGGTGGTTGGCATTCACTGCATCACACGGCTCAGGGGCGGCCAAGGGCGGCTACAGCCTCTGGGCTCCCTCACCTTCCAAAGTCCTCACCATTCCTTCCCCCAGGCCAGGAAGCCTGTTTTTCAAGGTGACTGGACACCTTGAAAAGTGTCCAGGGCCTAAAGGCCCTGGAATGGATCAAGAAGTAGATCCAATGGTCATCATTCAGCCAGTATCTACTGAGCATCTGCAGTTCTGGGCCCCAGGACAGATACAAAATGAACCGCAATGTGTGGGGCGAGTCCCAGGACGGAGGCATAACGAGGCACTGGGGAGCCCAGAGTGCGAGAGGAGAAGTGGGGGAGGGAAGTACATATTTATTGAGGCCTTGCAATATACCAGGCATTTCACAAACATCAACTCTGACCCGCATAACAATCCATGGGGAGGAGCTGCTGCTCACCCCAGCTCCTCCTGGCCTTCCGCTAAGAGTGTATGTTCTTAGACTAATCACTTTACCGTCTTAGGCCTTCATCTCCTCCTCTGTAAATGGAGAACACCTATTACATATGATCGTTGGGAGGATGGAATACCAAGACCTCAATGTCTGCTCTGATCGTTATTAGAATACAGGAGGGAGCTGTGAGGCTCACAGAGGAGTGGCGGGCAGCCCAGGACCACGTAGCCCGAGGAAGGAAGAGCTGGCCCCTGTTCTCTGTTCTACCCATGACCTGCCATACAGCAAAGGTTAAAGTGGAAGCTTTGTCATTCACGGCAAGTGCCTGGACTTGGCTGCCCTCTCTGTTCTGAAGAGGCGAGGCCACCTGTCCAAGGCAGGGTTACCCCAGGTCACCTGCAGCTATGTACACATCCAACCCTGAAGGCTGCTAGGGGAGAGGACAGCTGCAGCTTAGGCCTGGAGAGCTGGGCTGAGCCTCCCCTGTCACTTCTGAGACCTTCTGAGTCCCTGTGTCCTCATCTGAACAGGAGAATACTATTGTTTTTCTGTCTCATATTATGGACATTGAGTGAGTTAGAGGCTGGGAAGTGGTTTTTCACACTGCTCTATTGTGCTAAGGTGGATAGTTAGTTGGTGGGTGGGTAGGGGATAGAGAGAGGTAGAATTCAGCTCAACATGAAGATGAACTTCCTCAGAGGTCCGGCCATAGGAGTGGAAGGAGGTGGAAGAGTGGGTGACTGTCAGTCCTGGGGATGCAAAGGGACTCCTGCTGTGGGGTGGGGATAAGAGCTGCTTGAGTGAGACCAGTTCCCCTACCCGAGCCTCTTCTCTCCTCTCCTGCCCTACTGGGCAGCAGGTACCTAGAGATGAACCAGAACTCAGAAGGTCTTGCTCTCCACTTGACTCTGACAGTAACTTGCTGTGCAACTTTGAGCCTCCCCCTGACCCTTCTTTTCCTACTTATCTCATAAATAAATGTAACAAAACAGTTTATTAACTACGATAATGTGGCTATGTAAAGGATTATTATTTGCCAAGACTTTGGCCAAAGGGCGAGGTCTGTGGGAAAAAGGAAGCATTGTAACCTGTGGAATTGCAGGTTAGGGTTGAGAGGGCCCAGCATGAGTCCAGGATCTGCACCGGGCATACACCCGGGGACTGCTCTGTGGCTGACAAAGTAGTTTTTTAGCCTTGTCTCGTTCGATCTCACAAGACCCCACAATCAGAGACAGATATGGACCCAGTGAGCTCGTATACTCATTCATCCTCACACTCGGGCCTGGAGCCCTGAGCGGAGGTGGGAGAGAAGTGGCTCTGGGCTGGAACCCCAGCTCCAGTCTGCCCACGGGCAAGTTCCTTTAGCTATCTACACGTCAGTTTTCTTGTTGTTAAATAGGAAGATTAAATATTCACCTTAGGGTTTTGGTGAAGATTAAATGAGATACCGTGTGAAAGAGCTTGGTGCAGAAATGGGTACAAAGGAGGTACTGAATACGGTGAAACCCAAACTCACTAGAAACTGCAGGACTGGGCTTCCGGCTCCTGCTTCAGCGCTCTTTGCCCCGACAAAGCAGTTTCCTTTCATCACCCTGCTTGTTGCTGTCACAGCTGAGGCACCCAGGTTGAAGAAGTCAGCTGCATAGTAGGAGGCTACTCTAAGTAGGCAGCTTGGTCTCTGGTGACCTGAAAGAGTTAATTACTGCCCCCGGGGTCAAATGCACCAATTGCCAAAAGGAAAAGCTTCCCTGCAGTTGGCCCTGTGAGCTGATGGAGGAGGAGCCAGGCTCCTGCTCGGGCGGTGGGGAGTGTTGACATGAGAGGCAGAAGGCTGGCAGGTCCTTCCCTGGGCAGACAGATCACCTGATACAGACGGTGGGGCCCGAGCCCTGGGATTGGCCTAAAACAGGGTGTGTTTTTGCCCACCGGCTGGGCCTTGGCGTCCTGTCAAACTGCCTTCACACCCAGCCGTTAAAAAGAACAACGTCTGTGGGACTCTGTGCTGGAGGAAGCAACCATGCAGGTGCTGAACAAACGCTACCCCAAGAACTGCCTGCTGAACGTCATGGACAGGTACTCGGCCGTGGTGCAGAACATGGAGCAGGTGGTGATGTTCCCCAGCCTCCTGAAGGACGTGCAGTTGAGTGCGCAGGCTGGGGCCCCCAGTCTCTACAACTACTTCACCATGCTCAAGGCCATCCGCACGGATGTGGACCACGGCCTGCTGCCGCGGGAGGAGCTGCAGGTCAAGGCGACTGGTGGTAAAACCGATGTGACTGAGAATGAAGCTGCAGAGACGGAGGAGGGCGAGGAGGGCGAGGAGGAGGTCTTGGGGCAGCTGGACCTGGAAGCCCAGTTCCACCTGCACTACACTAGCCTTCATCACATCCTCACCCACCTCACCTTGAAGGCCGAGGAGGTGACGAGAATATACCAGGAAATAACAGGACAAGCTGTGTAGGCCTCGGACTCTAGGGAAGGTAATGGCAGCCACACTAGTCAGAGTCCATAGAGGGACGTCCCAGGGGAGCAGGGGAGCAGGGGTGCCACCCAGTGGGAGACGGAGAGCTCAGGTCCCAGATAGAGCTGTCCTCACTGCCTTACTCTCCTACCGGCCCAGAATTGGTGAGTAATGGCCATGACCATTAGAGAGACAGCAGGAAAAGTGTCCTGGAGTGCATACCTTATGTGCACACATCTGTGTTTATGCATGTGTGCATTTGTTAGGAAGTGTGGGCATTTACTCAGGTGAATCGTGACTTCTGCGTGTGTGTGTGTGTGTGTGTGTGTGTGTGGCATTGCTTCCCAACATTTTGTCAAGCCACGGAACGTGAAACATAATATTAGATGTCACATGGGGTGCACAGGGGAGGCCACTCACAGCATTCCTGCAACTGGCAGGGGTGCTCTGGCCACCCCAGGTTGCAGCCAGCCGGATGGAAAGCTGAAGGACTGCTCTCTCGGCACTCTAATTGTCCCAGGCATAGCAGCGTGGAGGCATGCCTGCTGAAAAGGCCTGTTGCGAGGACATGGAAATGTGCTGAAATTGAAGCCCATATGTCTATGCACAGAAGGGCCGGGGTTGTAAGGTGTGGGTAGGCTGCAAGCTAGACAAGCAGGTGGTAGCACCAGGTAGGTGATGGGAAGAACACATGGGACAGTTGTGGGCCGGCCATTCCTGGGTAAAGATTAGGAGAAGTTTGGCCACCACACCCGCCAGTTTTGATCCTGTGCCACCTGCCAGCCCTTCTCCCACACACTGGTTTCATTGGTGATAAAGCTTATTTATGTCCATGGTCATCTCAAAGCCACTGATGTAGGTCTGTGGGGGAGGAGGTTTATCCCCATTTTACAAGTAAAAACATTAAAGCCAGAGGTGAGTGATTCACCAAGTCATAGGAAGAGGACAGGAGCAAGACTGGCCCCAATTTTGAATTGGGTATTTTTTCATCACACCTAATCTTGGCCCCATGTGTTATCTTCATAATCTGCCTGAGGCCACTCGGTAACAATGGGGGTTGACCAGGGGCCTGAACACAGCCTCTGGGGAGCTGCACTCCGGTGTTTTCTCAGCTATTTTTCCTTCCGCCACCTCAAACCCAAACCCAAACTTCAGCCTCCCTGCAATTTCCCCTCAAGGCTCCTTGGGTCGCTTTTCAGAGGTTCTTGAATGTAACTGCGTTGAGTCAACAGCTCTAGGGTGAAGTTCTGGTCCCACCTCTAATGAGCTGAGGCCTTGGTTTAGCCACCTCAGGTCCCTGGGTTTCAGTTCCTTCACGGAATAATAGCAGTGGTGGTAAAAATAACAATAGGTATACGAATAGTTTTATAGTTTAAAACTGCTTGCATATTAATTATCTAATGGAACTATCACCCCCTTTTACATGAAAAAACTAGATGTCTAAGAAGTAAAATGAGTCTGGGGTTACCGAGGAAATGGCACAGATGAGGCGGGGGTGGACCCCGGCCTAAGTGGTGTCTCGTTCCTCTCCTCTGCACTGGTGAATTTCCTTAGTGCTGTGGAGTCCTGCTGCCTGGGCTGGAGGAGGGAGCCGGGGATGGCTCCGTGGGTAGCACACCCACTCCTTGATCAATCAACTTTGCAGACAGAGCAGTTATTCTATGCTACACTGATTTTCGTGATATAACAGAAGTTAAAAAAAACCTGGACTCTTGTCCTGACTCTGCTGCTGCTGTCTGTGTGACCCTGGACAGCTTACCTTTGTGCAGTTTCCCTGTTAGTAAAATGTAGAGATCAAACTAGTTATTGCCACTCTGATTCTTCTTACAGTGCCGACACTACCAGACTCCCCCACACAACACCGTGGGGCTTCATCATTGTTTTCCCTACTTCAGTAGCAATATGACAATACCTTAGTGATGTGGATTCACACTGACTGGTTGTTTTTTTAAATTTCTGAACTCCACAGACTCCGTGATGAGAACTTGGAGCAGCTCACTGACCCTGATGATACCAGGAAGGCTAGACCTACAGCTGCGATGAGGCGACGTGATTTTCTGAGATGCTTCCCTACCCCTCTCCGGGCACCAGTTCTGGACTTGTCACAGGGTCACCACCTTTAGGATGCCTGTCGCTATTCACAACTCCTGCTCAGCTCTTACCAGCTTGGGACAGTGGTTCGTGAGGGACTAGATGTTACCTAGCTAATGTGCCACAGTAGGAAGAATATAGGTTTCAGCATCTGACTCTTAGCACTTATTCAATGTGATCTTGGGCAAGCTATTTAACTGGCTGGAACCTAAATTTCATGACCTATAAAATGGAGATACTGCGTGCCTCAAAGTTGTTCTAGAAATTAAACAAGATACAATCAAAAGCATCTGGCATGTCAGTGCTATTATTACAGGCTCATTTTCCCCCCACTCTCACTGTGTTTGCTCCAGCTTTTGTTTTTTTACACCCCAGAACTAAGAGGTAGCAGTGTTTCTGGGGATGAGTGGTTCACTCCTGAACTTGCTGAGCACAGGTAAACTATGAACCTATTTACTGCAGTTGCAATTAAAAAAAAAATACCTTGAACTTGTACATATCTTTATTCTAAAGTACTAAAGTACTTTCTCAGAGATGATTTTATATTTAACAAGTGGGACTCGAGAAGAGATGGAACTCATGTAATTTTGCCCCCAAACCAAATTTATATTCACACTGCTACCTAATTTGAAATCACATAAAGAGAAACAATTTTATTAATCTCCACAAACCAGTCTGAGTATAAATTCTGAGCCTGGAAACAAAAACTTCCTGGACAACTGCTTGGCCTTGGTCAGCAGTGAATAGCAGCTTCCTCCCAGTCAGGTGCACTCTTCTACTACCAGAGGCGCCCGGCTCCGCTGCGGACAGTGCCGGCGCTGAGCCCGCCCTCTCCTGGATGACCCAGCTAAGAGCGAGGACCCCTATGCGGATCAGTCTTCTGCCCTCCTGGTCTCACGTCTCTTGCTTGTAAACCACCTGCTATATTGTTCAGAGAGAGCTCACAAATAAAAACCTAACCGTTATTCCCATTTAAAAAACCCTTTAGTAACTTCCTACCACCTAGGGGTTCAAGTCAAAATCATTTACATGACTTACAAAACCCTCCATAGTCTGGCTTGCTTTGTTTTGCTTTCTACTAGCACAGGGGCGGACGAAGCCTTTCTGCAAAGGACCGTATGTTAGTTCATGCTTTGCAGGCCATAAGGTCCCTGCCACAGCTACACGACTCTGTGGCTGCGGCCTGGAAGCAACACGAGCGACACATGAACGAACGCGCAGGGCTGTGTTCGAAAAGAATGGTATTGGCAGCGGGGCACATTTGGCCGACAGGCCGTACTTGGCTGACTGAGAACTAGAACTACTCCATTTTTAAATAGGACAGATGTCTTCGTACAATTGGGTAAACTGAAACAGACCGTTCTGGGATGAACCACTTTTCTCATGACAAAAAAGAGTCAGAGTGCTCATGATGACCATTTTAATCACAGCTGTTAACACACAGATTACTGTAAGTTCAAATATCAAGAAACCGTGTTCCACTAAATTCAGAAATAACTGTTATCAGTGAAACTGAAGCAAGAACTTGGGAGACTTCAACGCACTGGATGGAATTCTTCAAGAATTTCAGCATAAGTTTTCTTATCTATAAAAGAAAAGATCACAAAAGGTTATATTTAAATTATGTTTTAGATCATATTCCCTAAAAAATAAAATTAAAACTTAATTATTTTTAGAGACAGAAAGCCCTAAAATTTCCTTTTCTAGTCCTCAACCACGCGTGGTGATCCCCGAGAGTATTTGCTTCACTGAATACTTTTGAAGACTCTGTTGTAACATCTCTATGGCTGCCCAGAGGGCAAAGTGCTGCCCGGGGAGTCCTGGCTGCAGGGGTGAAGGAAGGAATGAACAGGGAGGGGCAAAGGTCAGGGAGGAGGGGCCTGAGCGGAGGGGGTCAAGCTCTCTGCTTACTCGCAAGGTCATCAGTGCCAGAGGCTCTGGGTACACCTGCCAGTAACCTGCTGCTGAGACAGAGTGAGCCTGTGAAGTTGTGCACACTCCTGCTGACAGAGGGAGACAGTGGGAACAGGGAGGCAAGGAGCCAGAGGTCTGGGGCTGAGGACCACTCTGCCATCGGGTTTCACTCTGAGGACTCAATATTCCCAAGGTCCTTCCAGAAGTTCAGAGTATTCCTCATCCCTGATACAACCACTATTCATAGTTTTGTAGTCATCTTTGAGGTCTTCATCGGCAAAGACACACACATACAGACTGTACCTTTTTAATGCATGATAAACAATGCATATGTGACTGAAGGCTGTAACAATACTGAATAGAGTAATACAATATTAGAACTAAACATGGCCTTAGAGATTATCATTCAGTCTAATAAAATCTCAATGCTTAGTATTACACATTTAGGAAAATCTATGAGTCCAAATTTTCCCTCCCTCCCTTCCCCTCCTTCCTCTGTCATGTACACATCTGTACTGTGTGTATGTATGTAAAATAAAAACAAGACAGTTATATTACTATTAGAGTTGAACAGAGATAAGTAGAATGTGCTGAGGAAATTCCTGTAACTGGGTAAAAACTTCATTGAGATGAAGCTTGGACAGGAATTTGCCAGACAAACAGGGTGGAAATGGGCAAGAGGAGGTTCAGGAAAAAGGGCGCTGTGTACAAATGTTACAGGGCAGGCTCAGAACACAGCACTTCAAGAGGCAGGGGATGGATTATGGGAGATGAGGCAGGGTTCTGTGTTGTTTAGGTCAGCTATTATTTATTTAGTGTCCACTATGTGTGGGCTCTGTGCTGGAGGCTGGGGAAACAGACCAAACTACAGTCTAATGAGGGACACAGCTGTGTACATAATGTGGAGGATTTAAAGTTATGGGAAAGAGCATCTACCAGGCACTTAGCCTGAGATGTGAGCTTCAGTAAGACCAAAAATGGAGAGCTGGAGGCAAGAGCAACCATCCAGGCAAAAGATTATTAGGACCTGCACCAGGATAGTAAGAGTGGGAGACAGAGGGGAGTTTAGAGTTGAGAAATACAAAGTAGAAGAGTAAGACTTCATGACTAATGGGGAGTAAAAGAAAAAACTTGGAGAGGATTTCCAGGCATCAGGCTGGAGTATGCAGGAGGACAGCAGCTCCATCTCTGAAGCAGGACACAGCACGGGTCGGGGCTGGCACAGGGCCTGTGAGGTTCTGTTCGCTATCTGAGGTAGTTAGCCAGAACCTGGATATTTGAATTCAGAGAATTCTGGCCTATAGTCAACAATATGGGAGTCAACCAAATAGAGAGGGAACCTGAGGCCATAGGCACGGAAAAGATTAACCAGGAAAAATAATGCAGAGCAAGAAAGGTTTTTGACAATTAACTTGAAATACCTTTTTCAGGAAAATCTTCCGGATGTGATTTTATATACGCAAACATATCATGGTCCCTCACAGCATACATATAGTCTTGACGTTTTAAAAGATAATATCCAATAAAAACAAAGGAAGTAACATACAGAAGCTGGCGATGCAAACCTGAAATTAAAATGACAAATCCCAAAGAAAGCAAAAATCAGTCGGGTAATGTTTAGTAAAGATCATATTCTTATATTTCAGATATATAATTTATTATTTCTTCTAAAAAATTTTTAAAGGGCTTTTCTAAGTGGCTATTCTGAACAAGCAGCCTTGATCTTGCGATGTCTTCTTAAAGCAATCTGGCAATTATGAAAAGCAATATTAAGTCTACAAACATCATTATCAATAGAATCCAAGCTTTTAAAAATTGAGGTTTTATAAATTTCTTCATGGAAAAAGGTGGATTAATCCCAAATCCCAAATGCTAGACTGAGAACAGAAAAAAAAATTTCCTTCTTCAATAAGTTTACTTCAGACCTCAACTAATTTGTATTCCAGGACTTGTTCAGGAAGGTGATGAGCTGAGACAAAGTCCTTTACAAATGGTTTTCAAGCAGTTTGGTTGGTCTCCACATACTGACTTATATTTGCATATTTAGTGGCCACTGAAGTAGCAGCCTACACTTCAAATATATCTCAGTTCTCTTTTGTCCCATCTAAATTTCATCCCATTTGCATGTATTACCTATTTGGAAACTATATTTATAAAATCATCATATTAAAAACATTATTCTATTATAATGAGAATGGAGAGGGTCAAATCACACGCTCTAGAGAAAGCCAAAAGCCTGAAGGGGAGATCCAAAGGCATCAACTTGATATATAGAAATATTTTTTGCAAAACGCTAACTTTTGATTTTCTAGCAAAGCCCCCGAATCCCACCCCCAGTCCTCCACTTCTCAACCTGCATACCTTCCTCTGGAGAACTGGCTTATTACTATACTTGTATCTACTGTCCATGTGCTGGTGACCCCAAAATATATCCAACTCAGACACCCCTGTCGACTAACAGATACATCCAAATGTTGGACAGATACGTTCACTTAAATATCCCCAAATGAACTCATTTCCTTCCTACACATGCCTCTTCCTCCTAATTCTAAGAATAAGACCATTTTACCCAGGAATCCAAGTCCTGGGTAATAAACACAGTAATCATCCTTCCTTTCCTACCCTTTTCCCCACATCCAGTCACTGAGTGCTGCCAGTTCTGCCTGGTAAATATTTCCTTTCCTCACTTATCTCTCATTTGTATTAACTGGTCCCCCCTTCATCTCATTTTTCACTCCACAACGATCCCAGCTTTTATCCTGTCACTAGAAGAATTTTTACTAAAATATAAACCTCTCGTTGGTTCCTTCTTCAATTATGCTCAACAGACATACAAATGCTTACATATGACCTTCTAAACCTTCATGAGCCAACTCTCCCACCTTCATCTTATGCTTCCTGATATGCACATTGTGCTTCAGCAACACTGAACTATTTTTAAGATTTTTATGTATTTAATTTTAGAGAAAGTGAAAGGGAGACAGAGAGGGAGAGAAACATCAATGTGTAGTTGACTCTCACATGCCCCCCACTAGGGACCTGGCCTGCAACCCAGGCATGTGCCCTGACTGGAAATTGAACTGGCGACCTTTTGGGGCACAGCCTGTGCTCAATCCACTAAGCTACTCCAGGCAGGGCTATTTTTTCAAGATTTATCTATTTTCAGAGAGAGGGTAAGGGAGAGAGAGAGAGAAATACTGACTGGCTGCCTCTCACACCCATCCAACCAGGGATGAAACCTGCAGTCCAGGCCTGTGCCCTGACCAGAATGGAAGTCGTGACCTTTCAGTCTGTGGGACGATGCCCAACCCACTGGGCCATACTTTTAATTCCTCACACAAACTAGGCTTCTTCATGCTTCTAATTACTGTGCAC